TTCTATCAGGGTAAAAGACCATGATGAACTGACCTCTTGTCTCAAGACTTTTACTTCCCCAGAGGGAAGGAACATTTTCTTTTCTGAATGACTATTAACTTTATATCATTACAACTTATATAGCCTTTTCTTTTAAAGAAGAAAGAAAATAGACACCTTATCTATGATCTGTGATCCTTGGCACAGACCTACAGAATGTAGGAGCTAAGATTTGTGGGGAACAAAAGATCTAAGGCCAAGACAAATAAATAAAATCCTTATTAGAGGTGCTCCTTCAGCCTCAAAGTAAGGATTTTGGATTTTTATGTTGTTTTACAGAAGGAAAAAGCACCAAGTATGGAGTCAAAGACTTGGATTCAAAATCTGGCTCTGCAATGTAACACCTGTGTGTCTTTGGGCAAATGAAAGTATAAGGCGCCATTCTGTTTATATATAAAATAGGATACTGCCTCCCCTAGCTTCTGTCTTCATATGATCGTTTTCAGGATGAAATAAGATTGTAGATTTGAAACCTAGACCCATTTGAATTCTGGGCCCAAAGTCCCCAAAGCTTTCTCCACTAGATCACAGTCACTTTAATCTTTTTACGAGTAACCAATTTTATGTTTTTAAGTAAAGTTTAAGCTCATGTGGACAGATATTTTTTGATTTTTACTATTCAAAGAATCTTTTGTAACTACTCAACATTATACATTCATTGGAAATCTCATAAAGACAGCATGTTCAGCTATAGGTAAAGTTTCCTCTACTGTACTAATTAGAATTCACATATGAAAGTCTGCAGAAAGGACTCATGATCACTGCCCACATTTACCAAGACACTCAAGAGCATTAGACTATTATCTCTGATTTGAACTGAGCAGAATAAACAAGACAGACATAAGCAAAGGTCTTGCTTCTACAGAATTTATTTATTCTGCTCATCTCAGGACTCATTTAAACAGAAATTCTAAATACTTCTATATTGGCTTTCAAGATGTGTTGATACAACTGATTACAAGAAAGCCTATAAATCTGCATGAGTGAATAGGTAGTTTCCTAAACACACATCTTAACTCCAATCTGTACGAATGATTCACAACAACAGATTTTGAATCTGTGACTCCCTGGGATTATTACAAGGAATCTACCAAATTTGTATCTTACAAATATGCATTATATTTGGACATTACATTCGTACTTCAACTCGATGTAGATGCTGGTATAACTAATAAAGACAAATTGTTTTAAAAGCACTACCGAAATTATAGCACCTCTTTGTTGTATTAACCAAAACATATTAGAAAGACAGCTGTCATCTGGTTGGGAGGGAATCTAATCACTTTTAGATTTAAAAAATGGTACTTATCTTGTACAGCAATTAACCACTAGGAAGAAGGTATGCAATGTGTTAATTATTGAAACTGTCCTACCAATTTGATTTGAAACTGTCTCATTGCTATTTGTTTATCAATAAAATTATGGGGGAAAATGGTACTTATTAGAAAAAGTGAAGAACTATAAGCCTGAATCCCACGATTCACAGATCTAAGTGTTCCAGTTTAAGGAAGAGAGATGAAACATAGATTCCACTTTTGAGGACACTATCTAAATATAATTTGCCAGCTATGAAAGAAAGTCCTAAAGTTCAATGTCTATAATTTGTTATCTGTATTGGTATAGGAGATAAAAACCCATGTTCTTTGGCTCAATCAAGGGCTATATTTTGATTCTAGAAAGCATCTCCAATTATACATACTGTATTCTATGTTTCTAGTTTTAATCCTTGAGCATCCCTGTGTCTCCCAGAATTGAGTGATGAAAACACAGACATTACTGCAAAGTAGGAACTTCCCCACAGAATAGCCATTAATGACACACTTATCCCACCAGCAATCCTTTCCTCCTTGCATTCTGCATCAAAACTTATGGGGTTCATTTTAGAAAGCAATAACACTCTTTCAACCTACCAGCCACATCTCTACCATGAGGGTGAAGAGGGTCTTTTTCCCATGTATATCCAAGAATCTATTTGAATATAAACCCTACTCCTTCCCCTTCTGAATTTATCTTCTTTCACAGAGGTCCAGGGCCTGCCTACATCAGATCTGGCAACCAACTCTAAAGTACCTGTCATCTCTAAAACCGCAAAGGCTGTTTTGTTACCATTTAAAGAAAGACCAATCTCTCCCCTTGATAGTTTTAGGAAACTGATACATTTGATTTATATTCCTGAGGGGAACAGCTCCCAGAAGCCAAGGAGAAACAGGCATGAAGGTCATGAAATACTTAATTTGGTACCAAGAATTGGTCAAATTTTTTAGAGCTGGGCCTGCAACTCAGTGGTTGAATTAGTTATGTGTCAGGTCCTGGGTTCAATCTTCAGCACCAAAAACAATAAATAAAAATTTAAAAATCAAGGTAACTATATTTGAGTTTAACTGTCTATAATATAGGAGCAGGCTGGGGATATAGCTTAGCAGCATAAGTGCCTGCCTGGCAAGTGCAAGGTCCCGAGTTTGAGCTCAGGATCAAAAAAAAAGAGAGAGCAATGGATAATAAATACCATCTCCTCAAAGTTATTTACTCTTAACTGTTGTAAATGACCAGGTACTTACTTCTAGTGAATCTCTGCTACAGACCAGGTAACAAAGTACCTGCTCAAACCAGTGTGTCCTGGAAAAGAGAACTTAAAGGAACCAGTGCCTGGTGGGATGGAAAAAGCAAAGCATACTGGTTACAATTCTCTTCTGTACCATTGCTTACCTCCCTCAGCACCCACCATTATCTCTTCTTCCTCCTCCAGGGTGAAATGCGTACATACTCGTACCTCCAAGTATACATATATTATATAGATATACACTAATGCCAATCATACACGCACACAGATATGTGCATATATAGTACAATACACAGGGACAAACAAGGAATTTCCCCCTCTAATAACCATTTATCAAACAGAGACTTGCTAAAAAACAAGTTGTTTCCCAAAATTGTTCTTTCTAACTTGAGAAACAATTATCAAAGAAAGCATCTAAGAAGCACTTGTCCAAATGTTATGCAGCAAATGATAAATGAGCTGAGACCTATTTAATTAACAGCCACTTCTGCATTCTCAGATAATTCTAAGAATTCTAATTCTAGAACTCTAAGAATAATCCATTTCTAAGATAATTACTTTTATTATAAATTAAAACAAAAGGAAGGAGTCAGGAAACTATATATAGCCACAGAAACAATATGGTATCTCCATATTTCTTAAGTCCTGAGAACTAACAACAGAAAGTCTGAGAAAATATTGTTTTTTTGTTTTTTGTTTTTTTGTTTTTTTTTGTTTTTTTTTTTTTTTGTGGAACCAGGGATTGAACTCAGGCCCGTGTGCTTGCCAGGGAAGTGCTTATTCCACTGAGCCATCTCCCTGGCCCTTGTTATTGTTGTTTGAGGCAGGGTCTTACCATGTAGTTCAGGCTTGTCTCAAACTTATGGTATTCTTCCTACCTCAGCCTCCCACACACTGGTATTACAGGTGCAATTTCTAAGATAATTACTTTTTATTATAAATTAAAACAAAAGGAAGGAGTCACGAAACCATATATAGCAACAGAAGTAATATGGTATCTCCATATTTCTTAAGTCCTGAAAACTGACAACAGAAAGTCTGAGAAAATATTGTTGTTGTTGTTTGAGGCAGGGTCTCACCATGTAGTTCAGGCTTGTGTCAAACTTGTGGTATGTTCTTCCTGCCTCAGCCTCCCACACACTGGTATTACAGGTATACAGTAGTATCACCCTTGGCAGGATACATTAATTTCTAATGTCATAATCATTCCTTCTTCCAATCCATTAGTTCTGAAACTTTTAAGTTAGCAGCTAAATGTTCACCTCTCTGCTTTTCTCAACCATCCTGTTCTGTCCAGCAAAGTAACACATACGAAAAGGGATTAGATTAACCTATCTGGAAACGGAGACACGACAATCACTGGGAGGTCAATAAGGCACTAACCTAGATAATCTCAACTTCCAAGACTATTAACCTCTAGGAAATCTTTCCTGAACATGTGTGAATCAATTTTCTTCCTTCATTTCATGTTGTAACAAACAAAAATAAATACCTATTTACTCCATATATAATAAGAGAAATTATAAAGGATAAAAGACAATAAGAAAACCATCAAACTCTGGGCAGAGAGTAGGCTATTTAGTGTGAATGTAATGGTCTCAAGTTCACACTAAGGATTTGATTTAAAATCACAGGAGTTTTCTCATATTTGACAATCAGGGAAAGCAGACTGAAATAGCTGGTGTAGCAATCTCTCCCTTGACCCCTATAAAGCGTCCAGACTCCTAAGTATGTGAGTCTTCCAGATATAGAAAAATGGATACCTGACAAGCCCAGGTTATCTAGCCTGCTGCTATGGTCACTGTATCTAAGCTAAAATACTTAACAGCAAGACATTTCAAGAAATAACAAACTCCCTAACACTACCTCAGCCCTATCCGTATAACAAGGATTGAACCCAGGACTTCTGCACTGAGCCATGTACTCAGCCCCTTTTATTCTGAGACAGAGTCTTACTAAGTTGCCCAAATGTGATTGGAATTTGCAATCCTCCTGCCTCAGCTTCCCAAAGTGCTGAGATTATAGGATGCACCGCTATATTCAGCTGAGAAATAAATTTGTAATCCCAGCCATATTCTGGTGTTAGATAAATAAATGTAAAATGTTCATTCCTAGGAGGCATTTTAGACTTACAGATTAGATTTAGGAGGAAAAAGGGAAATTATACACATACTATACACACACCATTAGGCCTTTAAGCCAAGTGGGATGAGTGTTACTGTGTGTATCATTTCTATTTTTCCTCCTTGCAGTAGTTAATTTTATGTGTCATGTTGACTAGGCAATGGGATGGCCAGGTAGATGGTCAAATATTATTCTGGCTGTGACTGAGGGGATGGTCTGGAATGACATTCACACCTGCATCACATACGTGGAACAGAGCAGACTACTGTCTGTAACATATGAGGATGAATCTTTATTTAATCAATCCAAGTAGTCTTGAATAGAACAAAAATAACAACAATAACAACAAAAGGACTAAAAGATAACTTCTTTCAAGTAATAAAGAACTCTTCCTGCCCAAGTGCTTAAATTGGGTCATCACTGTTTCCCATTTTTTGGATCAGAACTGAAATACCAGCTCTCCTTGGGTCTCAAGGCTGCTGGCTTTCACACTGGAACTGAAACCACTGCCTGTGGCGGCAACTACAGTAATTGCTCTCCTGAATCTCTAACTGGCCTCGTATAGTTCTTAGAACTTCTCGACTCATAATTGCAAGAGCCAAATCTTTATAATAAATCTCTTTCTATATCTACATATGCATCATATTTCTCTAAAGAAATGTTACTCTTTATCGTAAATTAACCTGGAAGTCTGAGATGCTTCCCATTATGAGAAGACACACTACAAAAGAATTACATGGGACAAGTCTAGGAAACAGCAAAATAAGCCTCACAGCTTCTATCAGAGCAAAAAAAAGTGAAAAAAAATTCAGATAATCTAGTCTGATGCTGCTTGCAATACTGTACAATAAAAAGGCAGATCTGTCTTACCATCATGTTTTTTTCCTTTGTGATACTACTCAGATCCATTTTAGTTCTCTAAATATACCTAAAAACAGAACTGCCTGTCCTGGCATCTCCGGATACCAACAGGCAGATAAAATTTCCAAGGTGTCATGAGTGTTCTCTTTTTTAAATTATTGTATTCTGAAGGTGTCAAAATTTCTCTGACATAGCTGATAACTGCTATGTGCTCTATTTGAAAACTGAAATGTCCTTCAATTTAACACCACTTTCTTCCATCTCAGAAGTACCAAATATAATGTAATTTTCACATCCCCTCATCCTTCTTCACTCTCAATCCAAAGCCAATGTGTATTCTAAGGTACATTTCATGAGCTCACTACAACAAACAGATCACTCCCACAGAAGTAAACCCTGTAGAGGTACAGTACGAGAGGTGCAGTTAAGGAAAAAACATCTATTCTCCCTGGGCCCAACTTACATGACAGCTCCTAGTTAACTTTTAGAGGCAAGTTATTAGTTCAGCAGGCTACTCCAAGTGGTCTCTAAAGTGGCCTCACTCTTTCTTCCCCAATTCTTTTATTCTCTATCAAAGTAAAGACAAAAATATTTTCAACCCCCTTTCCTCAGCCCCAAATCAGTATATAACAATCAACAAACACTGAGGAAAGCCTGTTAGCCAAGAAAGACATACAAAAGAACAGTGATCTTCTCTAAACTACGAAGGGCTGAAATGACCTTAAAAATTTTGCCACTTTGTACACCTTTGTAAACACGCTTTTTAGTACACCAGCAGCTGTTATATGACTCTGTTGTCCATTTGAGACTATGAAGTTCCAACAATAGCCATAACATTCATTTATTCAACTTTAAACATTCAAAAGAGCATGTGTATGGGACATTATCAGGCTTAAAAAGTAAGATCTACTACCTCTTTCAGGCCTACTTGTTCTGGGTGTGATCATTTTAATTGGTGTGAGTACTACAAGTATAAGCAGAACAAAGGAGATCAGAACAATTTCAGAGATGAAAAATGGACTTTTAAAAATTAAACCAATGTAAAATTTCAATTCTTAATGAATAACCAAAATGAGTGAATTGGTTGTAGAGGTACTAATGAAATAATCCTATTTTTATAAGGGAATTATTTTAAGGTTGCGATAGCGAACAGAGTTGGGCATCATTTTAAAAATCTCAGAACTAAAGATTTCAAGTATATGTCATTCCCTGTGTCTTATTATCCAACTTATTACCAAAAATGAACCAGACGCTAGGGATGTGGCTCAGCAGCACATTACCTGCCTGCCAAAAAGGAACCAGAATTAGATGACTCCCACCGAAGGATGCCAAGACGTATTTTGTTGGTTTCGGGAGAAAGCACACCCCTAATATATAATGACAGGCCACTTGTTCCTTTCCATTTCAATCTTTCTGTGATTTGCTTATGAGATTGAGACAAAACAAAGTTCATCAATCTCAGATTCCTCAATTAGTCATATCCTACTTCACTGCTTATGTAGACAACAGTAGATGCTTTTGCACAATTAAGACAAAAGGACTTTATACCATCAGGATTTTAGTGCTCTGGGTCCTGTGAATTTACTGCAAAATACACTAATGATGAGACAAAGGTTGGAAGGAGGAGGTGTAAACATCCAGTACAGGGCAACATGACACATAGCAGGACCCTAGCTAGACTTCAAGGAACTCATTTTATTCAGACAGGGGAAAATCCACATACTGTACTTAAGTTTCACACTTATAAAATTATCACTCTGAATTGAGGAACAAGAGGGATTTGGTTGTAGATACAATTTGTTTTGTAGATACTAACTTTAAATTTAGAGAAGAAAAACACTCATTGCATTAATGTAATGGGTTGGGGTTTCTTATGTGATTCCTAAATCCATCTACTATTTGTTTTGCTTTAATACAGTTTACATCTATGGTAAGAAGACTACTCCCAAGAGCCCTGGTTCAGGTGTGGTCTTCAGTTCAGAAAGTCCATCGGTCATGTAGCTGGCTGTCATATCTGTTGCTTGCAGAAGCCCCAGAGCTCTGGGTTTGCCGAGTAGAGTCCTCACCATTTAAGCTCTTCCTACACACAGGACATGTGTCATGCTGAAACAGAAAGAGATCATCCATGTGAACACTAACCAGACAAGATAATATATATAAATATATAAAAAATATGTATAAGAATATATAAGAAACTCTAGAATATATAATGTATAAGAATATATAAGAAATTCTAGAAGTTAGCACATTTCAAACTATGACTTGATCATCAGATTAAGTAATTGTCTGGGAACACATATTGGGCTCCCAAACAGAACTTAAGCAGAACAGTTGGAAAGAATTCCAGGGTGGCAAACTAACAACTAACACATAATACCACGAAAAAGGGAAAAAAAAAAGCTAGAAACAACAATCTAATAAGATATGGCAAGTGGCTAACTGCCCATCACGTTTCCATGTGGCCAAGGGGAATGAACAAATCTGTATCTTTAAAAGGTCAGGAAGTTAGTTTTTTTAGACCACACCAACTCTGCTGCAATTGCTCCACTTTGCCTATGCAACACAAAAGTATCCACATATAATTCATAAACAAATGAGTATAGCAGTGTTCCAATAAAATTTGATTTACAAAAACAGATTGCAGGCCACTTAGCCTGTGGGCTATGGTTGACAACCCCTGGTCAGAAAAGCTCTAAAGAGGTAGTAATCTAATGAAAGAATAATGGTGGCAGCAAAAAGTTGCCAGGGGTTTGAGACTAAAATCATGATCTATTTTGCTTTTTATGAACTGCTAGCTACATTTTTACTCTGGACACCCCCACCCACATCACTACAGATGTGACTTGCACAGTTGCCTCATCACAGGTCACAGCTGGCTTCTACTCACCAGTTCTAACCATGGCACAATACAACTGCTGTGAAAGAAGTGATTGCAGGGTAACTGCCGGACTTCCTCTTCAACTGTGTAATCATCTTTACATACTGGACATTCTAAACCCATATCTGTTAGAGGAACAAACACCTTTTAAAGTAAACAAGCAAAACAAAGGGCAACAAAGCTAACCAAGTATCTCTAATAATCTAAGGAACATATAGACAAAAGGCAAAAGAAGTTGCATCTAAGTGGGAGGCAGAAAAGCATGAAATTTGACTTCAAAACAGGGGAAGTAGTAATAGATAGGGACATGAAAAGTAAGAGTGATGACTGGGGCCTACTCCAAGAATGCCTAGATCAGAACCATGTAATAGCCGACTGCCTTAGATTTTAGAATGTGTGCTCCTGAAGCAAGCACATGAGGCTTACACGATCTGTTACGTAAAATAATAAAAGTATCTTCCCATAGGTGTGGCAGCCTTCTGGCAGTCACTCTCCACATAGGAAGCAGCGGCAACCTGTACACCAGCAAGTGACTCATCTCTGCAATCTCAGCTGCTTCCAGTCAGCATCTCAAGCTGGACTTGTCACACACCTTTTAAGTGTGGCTGTTCTAGTCATCTGGAGAAGGTGTTAACTAAAAGCTCTACCAGGAGGTGGTGCTGCAACATTGTGAAGGCCAAGTATAGTTCAGGCCTTCAAATAAAGACAGGAAGTCTTTTCTTACAGGTAATAGTCAAACTACAATGGGAATTCCAAGCACCAAATTCTGAGTTTTCCAAGTTTGGCAAAAAATACCAGATAGTCTACATGTCTACTGACTGAGATATGTTCCGTACTCCCGAAGTGAACAAGGCATTTGGACCAGGACTATCTATTAATAAATTTACTCCTTCCTTTGCATTTCAACAACTCCATTCTAATTCTAACTTCTGCTTCTCATGCCAAGTAAGAGCCTACTGTGCAGTATTTGCTACCAACTACTTTTCCCTGACACCATCTTTTCAGCTTATCTCAGCTGTTACTTCAAAATCAACAAATTCAAAATTAATACATATTACCACCTTACCCAAACCTAGACCTACTATCTCTGTCCCCCATAATGGTATAAACTTTTTACGTTATAAAGTTGTGAAATCTTGTAATTACCTTTCATTTTCCCTCTCCTCCATCCCATTATGCAACTGGTGATAAGCCTTTCTTCAAAATGAACTTCTAAATGAACCCTTTTCTTTCTGTGACCACTGTCAACTTTACTGGAACCACAACTAGACTGTTCCAACAGCCTCTATAAACCTCTGTTCTGCTGTCTCCTATATCTCGCCTATTTCATACACTACCTCCCACAGAACCTTGAGTTCTCTCATTTTTCATTTGAAGACATGCAAAACTTACCTACTACCTAAAACACCCAGCCCTAACTTTTCAACAAAGTCCTACCCTTTCTCTCTAGTCATACATCCCACTAGTCTTCAAATCAGTTTCTATTTCAGGTCTAATAAGGTCATTCTCTATATCTGACTTACACATCATAGTTATGCTGATATTTTAAAATTAGTTTATAGTAGGGTCAGGTGTGGTGGTACATGCCTGTAATCCCAGCTCTAGGGAGGCTGAACAAGATCAATGTGAGTTCAAGGCCAGCCTGGACTCCATAGTAAGTTTCAAATGAACAACTTTGAAGATCCTATCTCGTAAAAAAAAGTTCACACTTTTCTTCTTATGCAAAATGATCTACATAATGACTTGTCTTGCCTTTAACTCTTTTCTGTAAACCTAAAGTGAGAATGAAACTCTCAGTCCAAAATATTGTCCCTTATCACCAAATTCCTTCAGTGCTTATTCCCAGCCTCTCGTTTATTCTCTTCTTTTTCCCCAAGGTCAATTTCACCTATCCAACATTATTTCAAAATCTGAAATCATTTGATGAGTGTTGCTTCCACTAATAAGTTCTTCAACTAGTTAGAATCAAGTTTTATATATCTTTGTACCTCTTTATTTCTAATGGTACCTGGAAAGGGACTTTATAATGGCTCAGGGAAATACCTGTTGATTAATCATATAAAGGGACATACATGTACCTTTTATACTTGGTACTCAAATAGGAATTTTAGGGGTCTACAGCTTTTTAATACATCCAGTAAAAGAAGGTACTGAAGGGAGTCTGAATAGGTATCATAAGATGAAAGAATAAATATGAAAATAAACCTACCAACTTGTTCCTGAGTTACTGTCACTGTTGGAAGAGAAGTGATTTTTTCCTTGTCAGCTGGGGGAGGCCCTGTGTTTTCCAGTTGTCCTAAAAGCTACAAGAAAACAAAAAGAAAAATAAATGGCAGACATCTCATTATGCCTAGAAAGGGAGCTGCTCCAGCTGAGAATAAATACTGCAAATATTAGAAGTGATAGCTGTTCTTACTTCTGCGAAGGCTCTGAGAGGCATAGGTTTCCCCTTTCCTGCTATTAAAACACTTATAATTCCTTTACATTTTCAGAGTCACATTAGTGTCAGTTTAAGACAGACCAACAATTGTTAGGCCTACCTTTGGGAATAAAGCAACTTCAGGGTGGTAAAGAGTTATTATGTCATGAATAAAACTACAGCTTTATAAAAAGTAATACTCAACTGGTACAAAAATTTCTTTCTACAAGAGGAAGAAAATGGTGGGAGTATGGAGAATAGCATAGGATAAATCAAGAAACAGTAAATTACTGCCTATAAGAAGAGTTGGATATAAATGACATGCTTTCTGTGCTCAACAATCTACAAGGAAAATGAAAAACCAAATTAAAATAAACATAAGCAAGCAGAAATTATACATGGCATGGGAATACCTTTTTCTCTGCTTCCTTCCCCTACTTTGCTCCATCTAGCAGAAATTCCCACATCAACATGTGAGACCCTCCTTTTTTTGTAAAGTACTCATTTACAGGATCCTCATGGGACTGAACAAAAGGTCCAAAATATAATATACTGCTTCTTACAAGAGAAGTCTTTATTTTCTCTGGAGGTGAAACATGTTCTAGAAATACCCTTGGACATAGGTGATACATGGAGGCTAAACTAAACCCACAACATTTATCCCTTTAGTAAAATGGAAACCCAAAACCTCAAACATTAGAGAAAGCAGAGTGACTGCAATTTCAAGAAAGTAGCAGAAGGAAAGCAGGAAGCCTATGGAACCATGAGACACACTGAACAGACACCCTCAAAAGGCATCTCCTCACCTGGGTTACAATGGCATCAAGCCCTGTTTGACCCCAGGCATAGTCCCCAGGGTTGGAGTGCAGCATCCCGCTCCTATACATGAGATGAGATAGACAGTATTAGATGGAGTGACCAGGCTCTGCCTTTTATTACAGAAAAAGCTGGCAGAGAGATCCTGTTCTCCCTCAAAGCTTGAAAGTCACTAGAATCAAGAGGCAAAGAATTTTTCTACTTTCAACGTCAAACATTATCTAGAGATAGCCTCTCATCCTCTATGAATTTTACTTAAGCAGAATATAAAATGTGAAGTTACACAAAAACCTCACATGACATACAAGAGAAAAAAGAGTGACTTGTTGGCTATTGGTCAAGACAAGTTTCTTTTCTCTGCACACTTACATCAAATATAAATGGAGCTGCTTTTTAAGAAAGAACTCTTCCTTCAGGGTTGGCCAAAATCTATAACAGACTTCCCTCATTCACAGAGGCTGCCCCATGGTCCTGGACAATGAGAAACTTTCGAGTAGAGAAGCAGCCACAGCAGTCTCTCTGAATCACAACTCAGCAGTCTCTCTGAATCACAATTACAAAAGGGATAGTTGTTTCCGTAGTGTAGTGGTTACCATATTCACCTAACACAATTACAAAAGGGAACCTGGCAACATCTTTTTCTTGATGTTGCTGGTGCAGTACCCTGGATGACAGAGGTCTAGTTTCTGGTTTGAACCCAAAGGAAACAGAGGCTGGGAAATGGGTTAAGTGTAGGGAAGGATTGTGGTCCCTCTGAGTAAAGAAGCCTTTACAAGTGGTAAATAATTGTCCAGACAAGAAGAAATTCCATCTTTAAACCCTATTCTCCTTAAGCATCACTCTGATACTAAGTTACGGTCTTTTGCTTTTTCTAAAAAAACTTACTTAGGAAAAAGAAAGGTAAATGTGTTATTTTCAACTTCTGAAATTGTTTTGTATAGTAGCAATCAAACCAAGGGCAAGCCCTCTATGACTGAGTTACACACCCCTAGCCCTCCACTTCAGGCAAGTTTAAGGAACAAAATCCTCCCATATGGTCTAAAGGAAAAACTCACAAATTAGATACCAAAGCCTAACAAGAACTTTCTCATTCCCTACTTCAACACAACACTCACACCATAATTTTAAGGGGTGGGGGTGGGGCAGTCCTCCAAAGCCTGAATAAAAAAAGTTCTGATTAAATCTGAGTTCAGCAGACAATGGCAGTCTAACAAAGCTTCGAGTCATCTACACATACTCACCTATCAGTTTTCTGAAATGATAGCACCTAAAATGATCTACTTGAGCAGACTAAGCTAGATAGCAATTAGTTACTTACCAAGAAAAAGGGTGTGAGGATCCAGGTATTGCAGAATTTGCAAAGAATCCTGCAAAGATCTGTTGTATTATTCTGTTAGAGAGAAAAAAAAAAAAAATTAGAAAAGACAACAAAAGAAAGTACACATAACCATGGCATGAACTACTTCCCCAACCACAATGGTTTTCCAGGGCTGGAGACATAGCTCAGTGAAACAGCACCTGCCTGGCAAGTGCAAGGTCCAGAGTTCAATCCCTGGCCAAAAACAAACAAAATGACTTTTCACTGACTATTACACAAGAGAGCACCAGAAATGTTTACAGATAGTGCTGTGAGACTGTGCTATTATTTTATCTCTGAACTTTGCCATAGAATGAATTACATTTTTTTTGTGAATTAGGCTGGAAAGGAATCTGACGTTATAGTACATTTTTCAAATTAGGTTGCTCAGATCTCTGACACCAGTATAGGCAGGTTTAAAAGGGACGCTGAGCTAGTTCAGGATTCTGAACTAGATTTTTATATAGTATTTAAAGGATGTTTTAAAATAAGGATGAGAATAATTCTATTTTAGAGTTGTTTCAGGTGACTATAACATACATACACACACCTTTGCTTGGCACTTCTCATTCTCAACACTTGAGATGGAACATGTACCCATTTCTTTATCCCACTGAACTGGGTCTTTGTTACCTTTCAAAGAGATAATGGCTGGATGTATCTCCTGTGTTCTGAATGACATATACTTTTAATTTCCTGGTTTCTACTTTACTAGGTCTATCAATGTATCTTTAACAGTATTAGACTTTCCCTGCTACTAAAGTTCAACAACAGCTAAATATATTATTTCTTCTGTGGGCTTTTTTTTTTAATGGCTTTACTGCTTATTTTTTAACTGACAAAGTTAAAAATATATTTGTAATTATAAAGCATGTTTGGAAATATGCATACATTGTGGAATGGCTAAATAAAACTTACAACCTATGCATTACCTCAGCTTATTTGTAATGAAAACACTTCAAATCTGTTCTTGCAGCAAACTTTTCAACCAGCATTGGAGACTGAACTCAGAGCCTTCACATAGAGCTTCATCCTCAGTGCTTTTTTGGCAGACAGGAGATAGGTCTTGCTAAATTAGCCAGGTTGAGCTTGAACCTATGATTCTCTTGTTTTCACCACCCATGGTGCTGGGACTATAGCTCTCCTAGCAATTTTCAAGAGTGCTACATATTGTTACTGACTATAGTCACCATACTGTATAGTACAGCATCTGAAAGTATTCTTCCAAACTGAAATAGTATGTACTTTGACCAACACTTCCTAAACTCATCCTCGTAGACCTAGCCCTTGTTAAACATTACTCTCACCTGAGTTTGACTTAAAAATCCTGTTTGTTTGTTTCAATTATGTCCAGAAATTATTTGATAATCTCCCTTGAGTGTGAGGTGGCTTTACTGACTCACTTCTTACAAGAGAATATAGCAGACACAGTAATCTGTAACACTGAAAACAAAGCACTGTGGCTTCCTTCTTATACTTCTCTTAGATTATTTACTCTAGGAATGCATCAATACCAAGCAGTTGTATGGAAAGGTCCATGTGATGAAGAACTGAGACCTCCTGTCCAGATCCTGAACAAACTTGCCAGAATATGAACCCTAGTGGATCCTGGAGAGACCAATGCAACAGCCAACATCTTGACTCTTGAGGAACTTAGGCCAGAACTCCCTAGCTAAACTACTACTAAATTCCTGACCCATTGACTTTGAGATAACAAATGCTTGCTTTTTAAACTCAATAAACTCTGGGATAATTTGTTATATAGTAATAATTAACTACTACAGGTTTGGATACTGGGAAGTGGGCACTGCCACAATAAAAATACCTGTTCATGTTATGCCTAAGATGTTTGATATTCAGACTGATAGTGAGGTTACACTTAACAGCCTAGGTTGTATGGTAATAACAGTAAGCTTGTCTTCTGGAGGGTTAACAACCTAAGTTTGCAGACCAAAATTAGAGAAAAAGGAGGGCCGCAAGGAAAGCCAACATTTTGGCCCTAGCCTTCCAAGGTCAATTAAGACTCAGGACATATGAGAACTTGTACTATAACATCATGTAACTCAGTAGTGTCCCAAATTTTCTGATGAAGGAGATTATGGAGCCAAAGAAGAAAGTGATTGATGATGTAGAGTGTGCCTAAGGAGAGTCACATGGAGAGAAAACATTCTCTCAGGCTTTCACAGGAAGCACATTGGCTAAGCAATGGCCATGACTCATCCACATAGCTGACACTGACAAAGGTTCTACAATCTGAGGTACAGGGTCTCAGGATAAATCCTGAGGGGATTTCACTGACCTTATCAGATTCAAAAGCTACAACTCTTTTGCATAGGTCTTGCTTTATCTTGGTCTTAACCATCCAGCAGAAAAGTATAAAAACGAAGTATAAGAAGTAAAGCCATGTTGTTATGTTGAGCTGTAGGGAACTCAAGTCAACAATTTCTGACACTGCCAGTCAAGCGGAAGACCCAATACTATTATGGATTATTGGACTCTTTTTTGAATATTTTGCTGAGTTAACACACCTGAAATATTCAACTGAGGGAACTAAACAAAAAAAGGGATACAGATGAATGTCCATTTTGTATCTGTGTATTCAAAATGGTTACACAGATACAAAATAGTTACATTCTCTTAATGAATAGAGGGATTTGTGGTAATAGTGTTTGTAAATAGGTATCATGTCCACATCTTGTACAGCAAATAACCAACAGGAAGACAGTATGTAATGTGTTAATTATTGAAACTGTCCTACCAATTTGATTTCAAACTGTCTCATTACTATTTGTCTCAATAAAATTATGGGGGAAAAAAAAAACCCTAGGGCTAGGACTATGGCTCAGTGACACAGTTCCTGTCTGGCAAGCAGGAAGACCTGAGTTTAATTCTAAGTGACAAAAAAAAAAAAAAAAAAAAAAAAGACTAAAATTGAAATGTAGGACTATCACTGGAAACCAGCAACAGATGTAAGGTGGATGTTGAGTAAAGCATCAGAGAACATCTTAAGAAGCTTGAAGAAACAGTTATGAGGCCCAGGGTGGTGGTGCACAAAGCTGAGCCAAAAGGACTGTAAATTTGAGGCCAGCCTGGATTTAGTAAAACCCTACCTCAAAATTTAAAAAGTGCTGGGGATGTAGCTCAATGTTACAGTACTTACCTAGCATGTTCAAGATCTGAGTTTAACACCCAGCACTATAAAACAAAACAGTTCAAGGGTATAAGGTGGTAGACCATTTGCCTAGCATGTGTGAGATCTTGGATTCAATCCCCAGTGTCTACCCCCCAAAACAAAATACAACAACAAATAACAACAAAAGCACAATGGCCTTTGAGGAATTTATGGATGAGAGCTTAAGCAAATGTTGGGAAAATCTTAACGGGAAACTAGAAGGACAAGCATAATTATTATGAACCAACAAAAGCTGTTGCATGCCTTCTACATGGAATGTAGAAGCAGTGACTCAAGCTGGAAGATGATTGTGCTAAAGAGATATTCTATACTGAAGGTAACTCTTGGCTTCTTGCTGCTCACCATAAAACATAAGAGAAGAATAAATTAAAGGATAGTTAAAAGGAGTTAGGAGTGTATAATGCCTGAGAATTCTGTGTTTCCAGATACTAACTGATATCAACATTAAGAAATGCATTTCAAGCAAAGATTAAATCAAATCCAGGGCACTTCCAAAAGAACATGGTCTAAAATGAAGCTAAGAATGTGGCTATAAAAATTCTTTTAGACCTCAGAAAGCCCTACAGTAGTTCTCAGAGAAACATTCAGTTAAACAACTGAGCTTCTAAGAGCCTTACATGCATACAGTTTCCTAGGGCTGCTATGAAGAATCATCGTAAAGTGGATAGGCTAAAACACCAGGAATTTATTCTATCACTACCATATTTTGGAGGTCAGAAGTCTGAAACTAAAGTGCCCACAGAAGCTGGGTGTGGTGGTACATACCTGTGATCCCAGCACTCAAGAAGATGAGGCAGGAGGAACACAAGTTTGAGGTGAGTACAAGACCAGCTTGAACTACATAGCAAGACCCTGTCTCAAAAACAACAAAAAAGAGTCCATAGAGAACCACTGAAGAAAAAACTTCAGTAATCTTTGTTATGTTTCAGTTTACAGACACAGTGCCCCAACCACTACCTCAATCTTCAGATGTCTTTCTTCTCTTATGTCTTCTGTGCTCTATTCTCTTCTAATAAGACTAACAGCTCTTGGATTAGGGCCCACCCAGTATGATCTTGTCATAATTATATCTCTAAAAGCTATTACTAAATAATATTCACAGCTAAGACTTGAATATATGGCTCTGGGGGATACAATTCCACCACTATAGGTGATATTCCTCAGTAATCCCAAGAGCAGCCCAAGTTAAAGTCTATCCAGAAGAGACTTGTGAGTGTGCCTTTTGCCTAATGGCAAGACTGTCAATAAAATCTATAAGACACTCAACACTGGGGGTTGTGGGGGAGGACTTCTGGGAAGATGGTGGAGCATTGAGGCATGTCAGCCTCTCTGAGATTCAGAATCCAGACACTAATTACCACAAACTTGCAGAAAAAAAGGAAGGAAGGAGGTGGATCCCTGGGACCCAGAAAGGATCTGAAAGGAGACCTAAAGCTCATGGGAAAAGTAAGGAGACAGAACTCAAGGCAGAAAGAAAAGATGGCAGACTGAGTTTTCTCCCTGACTCCTGGCTCACAGTGTGAAGACAGGAGGCTCAAACCTACAGACACTATGAAGGTAGGTGAGTCCAGAAGATTCCACAGAAAAATGTATCAGTGAAACATAGCATTGAATGCTGAGAACTACAATGGCCAATGAGTGACTCCAGTCCCCTGGAGAGAGGGAGCTTGCCCAGGTGCCATTTAGCGAGGGCCCAGTTGAACCTGCGATTCACAGCAACCTTGGATTGGTTTTCTCTCAGGGCCCGCAGCAACTGGGTAAGGCACAACCACAGAAGAAATTCAGGGCCAGGGAGTGACAGGCAGGCTAACAAGAGATACCCAGATGGGCTGGTGAGATG